CTGCTGCTGCTGTTGCTGCTGCTGCTGCATTTGCTGCTGCTGCTGCTGTATTGTCTTCTGCTGCAGCACTTGCTGCTGCAGCACTCGCTGCTGCTGCTGCTGCTGCTGCTGCTTGTCTTCATGTGGTGCTGCTGCTGCATGGGTGGTTTGTGTTGCAGGTGATAGATGTAGAGTTTGGTCGTTTTCTTTCTTTTTGCTGCCGAGGAGATGCAAGCATTGAGCTGCTGCAGCAGCAGCACCTGGGGTGTATGCGCAGCATCAGCAGCAGCTGCTTCCTAGCTAGCCCCACAACCCTACAAAGCCTCAACAAAACCCTCGCCGTTGTCTTGACGTTTGCTTCTCATACACTGAAGTTTTCTTCTTTAGCTAGAAAGACACAGCTGCTTACATCTACTACTGATGCTGCTGCTGCTGCTGCTCCTGCTGCTGCTGCTGCTGCTGCTGCTGCTGATGCAGCAGATCGTGGAGCTGCTGCTGCAAGTGGTATGCTTGGGGAGGAAGGAACGAATGCAGCAGCAGACACAGCAGCAGCAGCAGCAGCAGCAGCAGCAGCAGGAGAAAGTGCTGATGCTGAGGCAGCAGCAGCACGAAAGCAGCTGCTGCTGCAGCAGCAAAGACAACGCAGCAGCAGACTAGAAAGCTTTCGTTGTGCTGTCGAAGCAGCAGGGTTTGGGGCCATGATTAAAACTGCGCATGCAGCATTCGTCTCCAGCCAAAGAGAATTTCTAGGTGACACACAGCAGCAGCAGCAGCAGCAGCAGCAGCAGCAGCAGCAGCAGCAGCAGCAGTAGGAGGAGGAGGAGTAGGAGTAGGAGTAGGAATAGGAGCAGCAACAAGAGGAGTCGCACCCGTTGCAGCAGCAACAGCAGCAGCAGCAGCAGTAACAGGAACAGAACTCGCACTAGCAGCAGCAGCAGCAGCAGCAGCAGCAGCAGCAGCATGTATGTGTTTGTGTTTGCATGCAGCTCGGCTCCTTCGTCTGGCGCAGGGCCCCAAGGGATCTGCTGCTGTTCATTTGCTGCAGCGGCTGGAGTTTAGTGCTGCTGCTGCTGCTGAGAGACAGACATCCTGGGGTGTATGTACACCTCAGGCAACAACCCCAAGATATAATTTAGATAATACCTTTGCTGCTGCTGCTGCTGCTCCTGCTGCTGCTGCTGCTGCTGCTGCTCCTGCTGCTGCTGCTGCTGCTGCTGATGGCCCACAGAGGCTCAGAGCCGCTACGCCCCTAGGCAGCCGCAGCCCCCGCATCATGCACACTGCTGCAGCAGCACAAACAGCAACACATGCAGCAGCAGCAGCAGCAGCAACAGCAGCAGCAGCAGCAGCACCAAGCACGATGCCGACTCCACGTACGGAAAGATTTGTGGCGAGCCCAGTGCTCCTCTCCTCCCTGCAGCAGCAGCAGCAGCAGCTGCAGCAGCAGCAGCAGCTGCAGCAGCAGCAAGAGCTGCCGACGCAGCAGCAGATACACCACCAGCACTTGCAGCAGCAGTCACGACAGCAGCAGCAGCAGCAGCAGCAGACGCCACAGGTTAGTGCATCGTCAGCGATGCAGCAGCTTCTCCAGCTAAGGCAGCAGCAGTTGCAGCATGAACAGCCACAGCAACTGCAGCAGCAGCAGCAGCAGCAGCAGCAGCCACTGCAGCACCGCTTCCCGCGGGCGCCTAGGTCATTAGGTTCCGTGGGCCCCCCAACGTTGCAGCGAGCAGCAACAGCAGCAGCAGCAGCAGCAGCAGCAGCACCTGCTGCTGCTGCCCCTTCGCAGGCATTTGCGTCAGGTTTACGAAGCAACAGCAGCAGCAGCAGCAGCAGCAGCAGCAGCAGCAGCAGGGCGCCTTGGCCCACGCCCCCGAGGCCCGCAGCTATTGAACCCCAGCCGGCAGAGCCTGCTTCTTCCCGCAGCAGAAGTGCAGCAGCAGCAACAGCAGCAAACCGAGGCAGCAGCAGCAGCAGCATCAGCAGCATGAGATACATTGGGCAGCAGCAGCAACGGAAGCAGCAGCAGCAGCAGCAGCAGCACGAAGCTGCTCCTATCAGCTACGCCAGCAGCAGAAACCCCCTCTCCCGCAGCAGCAGCAACAGCAGCTTTGTCAGTGGCTCAGAGACCGAGGACGACGCCCCCAACAGGCCAG